GAGAACATCAAAATTCTCAGGTGGGTGGGGATGAGCGCACAGGCGTCTGGGAGAAAATAGCTACCGCTCAGAGCGGTATCTTCCTTCATCCCAAACTCCGAACTGACCCTGAATTTTCCCGCATCAACGAGGGAAAATATGGGAGACAAAACACAAGAAAGGGACGGCCAGGCAGGCACCTCTGGCTTCCAGACCCCTTCGCGAGACCCACCTGCACGAAAAGAGCCCCAGACAACCGCCACCGTTCGGCGGTGGAACTCTCGGGCCTCACGCCCACGCAGACTATGCGCACCCTTTGGCTACAGGCCGAATAGGGCGGGGTTTCTCGGACGCACCCCTTCGCTTTTTCCCGCCTTCTTTGTTTCTTCTGAAGGCGCCACTGGCTGCTTGCCGTTAAGCCGGTGAGACACGATTGGACGAATTCGCCGCCCCTCGGTCGGCAGCCACCTTACGATTGGCCGAGACGCCGCCAGGGGTTTGAATCGCAGCCCCGGTCAGGGTGGGTTCTGCCAAAGTGCCACGTTGGGCTCGCTTGCGGTGTGTGGAGCCGGCTTGAGGCGCGGGCCGGGGCGCTCGCGCCGGGGCGCCGGCTGTTGGGACTGTTGGGTGGCGCGAGACGACCCGGGAAGCTGGAGTACGCTGTCGGCTAGCGAGTGGCTGTAGTCAGGCGCCACAGCAGAGCCTGGGCGGCGGCGCGTCCTGCCCACCCGAGGGCGGCTCTGGCTGAGGGCGGAGGGCCCGGGGCAGCGGCTGAGGAGGGACGGCGGCGGCGGGAACCGCTGCCCCTGGAAGACTCGACCGAGATGCTGGCGGAAAACCTTGTGGAGGAGTTCGAGCTGAAGGATGACGAACCGTGGTACGACCACCGGGACCTCCAGCAAGGTGAGGGCGAGGTCGCCGCGGGCGGGCGGGCGGTGGCCGGGCCGGAGACGCTGGCATCGCGGCGCGGAGGGGTGGGGAGGCTCGCGACGTCTCCTCGGGGCTGGAAACGGTGACAGAGTTGCTCAGGTGCAGGGAAGGTTCGCGCTCACCTTTCAGGCAACCGGCGGTTGCCGCCCATCCAGCGCGGTAGGACGCCTCTGCGCGGGCCCGTGCCGGGCTTTTTGCGCAGTAATAATAATAATCACTAATGCGTGCTGAGTGCCCTCTGGGCGCCACGCACTGTTTGAAAGCGCTTTCCGAGGATTAATTCATTTAATCCTCACAGCAGTCCTTTGAGACAGAAAGGGTTGAAAAAGACGTGTCACATGGCTCGTCCAGGCTCCTTACCCCGCTGTTTCTGTCCAGGGATACTGATTACGGCCGGTACTGAATGTCAGCTGCTAGTTAGTGGTGGGACTATGGTGTGGCGAGAACAGTATTCTGCAGACTGGCTGTCGTTTATTTCACACTACAACTCTACGAGAGTAACTTTTGTTATTCCCATTTTCTCAATGAGGAGAACGGAGGCCGAAACGCTTACCTGACTTGCCTAAAGTAATGCGGGAGCCAGGAATTTTGAGCTCATGTAGGCAGAATAGACACTGTCCAAACCTTATCTTTTTCTTACTACCCAGTTTACACGTCTTTTTTCTATTGGGTGTTAAACTTTTTGTTTTTGAATGTTTATACATAGCTCACCAGATACCAAATGAAAAGACTTGTTGGCAGGCACTTTTACTTCACCCACGTTTTGGATTTGCTCTTCATCTTTCAGTTAAAAACAGGCTCCTATTTTGGCCTGCCTTGGACTTCTTGCTGATGGTGCCTCCAGAGAGCAGTCTTAGAGCAGCGCTTATATTTGGAGGCACTGCCCCTTCTTTGGCATATTGCTGCTGTTGTTGTTAGCTGCCATCGAGTCGTTTCCGACTCATAGCGACCCCATGCCCAGCAGAACAAAACACTGCCGGATCCGTGCCAGCTCCACGATCCCTGCTATACTTGAGCCCATCATTGCAGCCACCGTGTTGATCCATCTCGTTGAAGGCCTCCCCCTCTTTCATCCACCCTCCACCCTACCAAGCATGACATCCTTCTCCAAGGAATGGTCCCTTCTAACAACATGACCAAAGTAGGTGAGATGAAGTCTGGGCATTCTCGCTTCCAAGGAGCATTTTGGGTGCACTTCTTCCAGGACAGATCTGTTAGTTCTTTTAACAGTCCATGGTACTTTCAGCATTCTTCGCCAGCACCACAACTCAAAAGCATCAACTCTTCTTCGGTCTTCCTTATTCATTATCCAGCTCTCACATGCATATGAGGCAATTGGAAATATCATGGCTTGTATCAGGCACACCTTAGTCCTCAAGGAGACATCCTTGCTCCTCAGCACTTGAAACAGTTCCTTCGCAGTTGACTTTCCCAATGCTACACGTCACCTAATGTCCTGACTGCTGCTTCCCAGAGCCTTGTTCTTCGCCAATTCCTTCATTGCAGCTTTGACTTCCTCCTTCAGTACCATTGGTTCTAGATCATATTGGCATATTACTAGGGAGCTGTTATTGGGGGATGGGAAGGAAGGTTGGGCAATCTAATTCCACCGCCCAGAAACCCAAGGAGGGGTCTCTATGAGTCAGTCGGATCTGACTCGATGGCAGTGAGTTTGGTTTTTGGTTTGATTACTGGGAGAACACTCACTATTTGCCAGGGGTATGGGCAAATCTTAACATACATGCTCCCAACAATGCTATGGGGATTGAAGTAGACACATATAGGGAGTTAGGATTTCAATTCAAACTCCAGAGCAAACATTCTTAACCCCTATGGGGCAATCTACTTCTGTAGGATACCATCTTGGAAACCCGAGGAGGGGTCGCTATGAGTCGAGTCCAGCTTGATGGCACTTAACAACAACAACATACCTAGTACAGCAAAATGAAACACTGTCTAGTCCTGCACCATCCTTACAGTCATTGCTATGTTTGAGCCCATTGTTGCAGCTGTTGTGTCAGTCCATCTTGTTGGTGCTCCTCTTTTTTGCTGAGCCTCTACTTTCCGAAGCAGTCTTTCTCTGGGGACTGGTCCCTCCTGATAACATGTCCAAAGTACCTGAGATGAAATCTCGCCATCCTCACTTCTAAGAAGCATTCTGACTGTATTTCTTCCAGGACAGATTTGTTCATTCTTCTGGCAGCCCATGGTGCATTCAGTGTTCTTTGCCACCACCATAATTCAAAGGCATTAGTTCTTCTTTGGTCTTTCTTATTCATTGCCCAGCTTTCACAAGCATATGAGGTGATTGAAAATACCATGGCTTGGGTCAGGTGTAACTTAGACCTCAAAGTGACATCTTTGCTTTTTAAAGACTCTCATCTTTTTTTTTTTTTTTTTTAAGGACTCCAAAGAGATCTTTAAAGATTTGTCTCACATTTTAACAATCCTGTTTTCAGATTTCCCCATAAGGATTGATGGCCTACTTTGATACTTTCTGCAGGATTAATGAGACAACCACGGTGCAATTAATTGCAGCATTGCCCTACAGTAAATTAGCAGTTTGTATAATCAAAGATAAATGCTTTTGTTTCCTGTATTTAAGAAACATAAATCTGTAAGGCAGAGAGGGCAAGGACAAGGTATGCTCATTTTTAAATCCCTGGCATCTAGCATAATACTTGACCCACAATAGAAGCTTGATTGATATTTGTTGAACCAAAAATTGAAACACCCATACAGGATTACTGTTTCATTGTTCCCTTAGTCATCAGGTGCCTTAGTCCACACTGCCCTTTCCCTTATGGAGTAACCAGTTGTAATATTTTAGTCTCCCAAGGAGCAAAGGCAGCATATTGGGGTTACATGTGGAATTCTCTTGAAACCTCTTTGATCAAAATGAAGTCATTAAATCTTCAAGTTCAACACAACTTAAAGGACACAGTCCAAACCTCCTTAATACCAATTTGGTTTGGAATTTGTTCTATGCTTTCCTAAGGGCTTTTACATTCATTATCATAGTGTACTTTGACATAACCCTGTGAAGTATGTGGGAAATAGAAAATATGAAATTCTAACAATCATAATTTGTGAACATGGGCTGTAAAAGAATGAAGCCTACAGTGTGGAAAAAAAGGGTATCTTTGTCCCAGTTTTGCTAAGTTATATGTTAAAGAACTTCTAAAAGGGTTTGAAAAGTTGTTCATTTCACAAAAAATTATTATCTACTTTGTGCCAGGCACTTAACTAGGCACTGTAGCTGCAGTTGTGAACAGGATAGGCAGGATTCCTACTCTCTTGGAGTCACTAGGGAAGTCTGGATGCCGCTGCCTATGGTATGCTCTCACTATGATGCCTGGCATTTTTTCCAAAAAAGGAAAAACCAAACCCACTGTCATCAAGTCAGTTCCGACTCATGGCAACCTTATAAGACAGATTAGAAATGCCCCAGAGGGTCACCAGGGCTGAAAATCTTTATGGAAGTGGACTGCCTCATCTTTCTCCCTTGGAGCAGCTGGTGGATTTGAACCGCTGACCTTTTGGTTAGCAGCCAAATGCTTTAACCACTGTGCCACCAGAGTTCTATGCCTGGCACATGTTGTTGTTGTTGTTATGTGCCGTCGAGTCAAACCCGACTCATAGCGACCCCTCCTTGGGTTTCCAAGGCAGTATCACTACAGAAGTAGGATTGCCCAACCTTCCTTCCGAGGAGTGGCTGGTGGGTTTGAACCGCTAGCCATCTGGTTAACAGGCAAGTGTCTTAGCCACTATGCTACCAGAGCTCCCATGCCTGGCACATAGTAAACTCTTAATAGATATTTGCTGCTGGGTAAAATTTGTGAGCAGATCTGTACTATTAAACAGACTGATTAATGATTAAGCTGATCTAGTGGGATTTTGTAGGAGCTCTGGTAGCATAGTGCCTAAGGCACTTGACTGCTCACCAGAAGGCTGGCGGTTCAAACCCACCAGCCACTCCTCGGAAGGAAGGTTGGGCAATCCTACTTTTGTAGTGATACTGCCTTGGAAACCCAAGGAGGGGTCGCTATGAGTCGGGGCCGACTCGACGGCAAACAACAACAACAGTGGGATTTTAAGGAGCTTTGGTGGTATAGTGCCTAAGGCTTTTGACTACTAACCAGAAGGTTGGCAGTTCAAACCCACCAGCAGCTCTGCAGAAGGAAGATTGGGGCAATCTACTTCCATAAAGATTTACCACCTCGGAAATCCAGTGGGGATTGCTATGAGTTGGAATTGACTTGATGGCAGTGAGTTTGGTTTTTTGGTTTTAGTGGGATTTTAAGAAGCTCTGGTCGTGTAGAGTGGTTAAGGCATTTGGCTGCTAACCAAAAGGTCGATGGTTTGAACCCACCAGCCACTCCTCAGAAGAAAGGTGAGGCAGTCTGCTTCCGTAAAGATTTACAGCCTTGGAAATCCAATGGGGGTTTGCTATGAGTCAGAATCAACTCGATGGCAGTGAGTTTGATTTGGTTTTTTGGAGTGAGATTTTAATCATGTTCACCTAACATCCTCACTGTCAGCTTTTCTGAGTGGGGCTTGTTTGGAGAGAGCTGCTTAAAACAGCGGTTTAAAATCTTGTTCTCAAAGTCAGAACTATGAAAGAAGTTTTTCCTTTAACAATATAAGCCATTATTTAAGTAGATAGAAGCTTTGTATCAAAGTTTGCTGGGACATTCTTTCCTGAATTTAAATTGCTGGCAAATCCTAACCTCAGCAGACTCTGGCCTACTATTCATACCTTGTTAGAAACATGTTGTGCACAGGCAGGAGAAAAGCCTTTGCTGTTATAAAACACTTTGATGAGGAGACTGGCTTTTGTCAGAGGCTAAGTTGGCGCTGTAAGAACGCTGACAATAATCTCTGTGGCTAAGAGCTTTTCTAGGGCAGCAGGAGCTTTCTCTGCAGGTAAACGATGGTGCTGGTTTTGAAATGCGCCACTGAGAACAAGGTAG